GGCCCACTCTTCCATGCAGAACTGCTTTAACGCAACAACATTTGTGGATGATTAGCTTTTTAGCCATTTTCATGTAGATTTGATTTGTGTGTTTTGGATCATTATCTTGCTGCATGACCAAGCTGCGCTTCAGCTTCAGCTCACAGACGGGTGGCCTGACATTCTCCTGTAGAATTCTCTGATACAGAGCAGAATTCATTGTTCCTTCTATTAAGGAAAGTCATCCAGATCCTGAGGCAGCAAAGCATCCCCAAACCATCACACTACCACCACCATGCTTGACCATTGGTATGAGGTTCTTACTGTGGAATGCAGTGTTTGGTTTTCGCCAGACATAATGGGACCCATGTCGTCCAAAAAGTTGACTCAAGTGTGCCAAAAAGCACCTGGATGATCATCAAGACTCTTGGAAGAATGTTCTATGGACAGATGAGTCAAAATTATAACTTTTTGGATGACATGGGTCCCATTATACCTGGCGAAAACCAAACACTGCATTCCTGGCAGCATCGTGTTATGGGTATGTTTGTCACCGGGAGGGACTGGGGAGTTTGTCAGGAACAAAATAAACATGAAAGGAGCAAAGCCCAGATAAAAAGTTAGCAGAAACCCTGCCTCTGTCTTTTTTTTTCAGCGGGAGAATTACTATTTTATTTAAGCCAAAGACACACCAGAATGACATTTTCTAAGAGGTGTTGAGTGTTGCTGAGTGGTCCAGTCTAACTTCTGATTGAAAATTGCTTCAAAATAAGAGTCAAAGTTTAAATATTGCTGTCCATCTATGATTCCCAACCAAATTTACAGAGCTTGTGTAATTTTGACAAAAAACAAGTATGTTTCCCTAAGAGTTATACAAATAAAATCATATTAAAAATGATTAACAGCTGTATTGGCTGCCAAAGGTGCTTCCACCAAGTATTAACTCTCGGGTGTGAAGACATAAGCAATCAACATTTTTCTTTTTCATTTTTACTTAATTTGGAAAATGTTCAATGAATGTCTTTCACTTTGAACATGTGGAATAGGTTGTTTAGATCTGTCAGGAAAAAAAGCTAAAGTCCCTTTTTAGATGTAATTTTAAAGCAGCAAAATGTGAAGACTGTGCAAGGGGTGTGTAGACTGGAGTCAAAAATTATTGATACCCTTGATTAAGATGAGCAATAATGACTGTATAAAATAAATAATTATAATACTGAGGTACAGTATATTGTATGCTCAAAATCTTTTTGTTTAACAAGTAATACATTTTCTTCTCAAAAAGGTAGGGGTCAAAATTCTTATAATTCTTATAAATAAAGTAGTAATTGGTCCCATATTCCTAGCACGCAATGACTACATCAAGTTTGTGACTCTATAACCTTGTTGGATGCATTTGCAGTTCGTTTTGGTTCTGTTCCAGATAATTCTGTACCCAATAGAAATTAATGGTAAATAATGTATTGGGTCATTTCGGAGTCACTTTTATTGTAAATAAGAATATAATATATTTCTAAACACTTCTACATGAATGTGGATGCTACCATGATTACGGATAATCCTGAATGAATCGTGAATAATGATGAGTGAGAAAATTAGAGGGTCAAATATCATACCTCCAATACATGAAACCTTCCCTGTTATTGGTAATGGGGAGGGGTTAGCATGTCTTGAGGTTATGATCTTGCAACCAACAAGCATCCATGTTTGTAAAGTCACAAGCTTGATGGAGTCATTGCGTGCTAGGAATATGGGACCAAATACTCAACCTTTGACTACTATATTTATAAGAATCTTTAAGGGTGTCAATAATTTTGACCCCTACCTTTTTGTGAAAAACTAAATATATTACTTGTTGAACAAAATCTATTTCTCTGAGCAATTGTACTAGTATAAAATAATATAATTTCATTTTTTTCCATATAATATATACAGTATAGCTTAGTATTTATAATTATTTATTTTATACAGTCATTATTACTCAAGGGTGTCAATCATTTCGGACCCCACTGTATATGTTTGCAGTGGCGGCCACGATTTAGCAGTGGCGGTGCACTCCTGCTAAATTAATATGGGGGAAACACTTCTTGTCTCTTATCTTGAGTAAAGGGTGGTATTAAGTTATGTATGTGTACATTAACGACCTGAGGTGAGAGGGATAGCGTGTGTTACAGTTTTTCTCAATTGCTAAAACACAATTTCTGAAACCTTGCTCCATTTCTTGAAAACATTAAACACAAAACCTAATCTTCAAGCACTTTAACAAAACCTCTGACTCCTCTCGCAAAATGAAACATTTGCCTCAAAACAGTTTTACCTGTGTTCAAAATCAAACACTGCTCTCAAATCATAAACAAAGTGATCAAAATGATATACACTCTCAAGCAGTCAGTAAACAATACACCGAAAAATAGAAAACACATTGTTCAAAGGGAGAAGTACATTTTTAATCTCAAAACAAATGTCATATTTTTCCGTCATTGTCTTTTGATGAACGAAAACATGTTCTATCATAGTAGTATCAAAATTGATCAGAAATGACTACTCTGCTTTGCTCTTTGCAATTTTGTTTTTTGTTCTTCCTCCTCCTTGTACCCCTATTTTTACAGTACTGTACCCTGCATCTCACAAACTTGTCCTTTGTCTCTGTGATACTGTAATTATTGTTCTTTGTTGATATGAACCTGCAACCAGTCAAAATCTATTGAGCAGTCAGTACTGTTAACAAATGGAAAGCACAATGTTCAGGGCCATACAATTTGTCCATTGTACAGTATACAGCCTACAATGCACTGTACTACAGTATACAATACTAAAAGGGACAAAAATCAAAGGAGTAAACATGTGATCAATGTGCTTCTTCTTGTCTTTGGGCTGGGTCAGGCCAGAGCACTTCGTCGACATCACAAGCAATATTGTCCCTCCTGAGGCAACGGGGGAAGAAGCCTCTTGTGTGCCGTATCCAGCCCTGACATGATTCCTCACCTATATCACCACAGGCTAAATCCATGGCTTGCAGCAGATTTACTCTGGTGTAGGGTTGTCTATCATACACTTTCCATCTCCAAGAGGAGAAAAACTTCTCAATCGGATTCAGGAAAGGCGAGTATGGAGGGAGGTACAAGTTCATAAACTGCCCATTGATGTTAAACCATTCCCTTACCTGAGCAGCTCGGTGGAAACTGACATTGTCCCACACTATCACATAGGTGGGAAAGGATTTCTCATTTCACTCTTGACCCTGCTGCTCTTGAACCTGCTACTCAAATAAAATATCTTTAGATTGCCAATAAATCTTAGAAGGTGCTGGGTGTTATATGGCCCGAGTGTAACATGGTGATGTAGAACACCATGGTTGCTGATGGCAGCACAGATTGTGACATTGCCACCTCGTTGACCAGGGACTTCAACAATGGCCCGCTGTCCAATCATGTTTCGGCCTCTCCTTCTCCTCTTTGTTAGATTGAAGCCTGCTTTATCGACAAAGATGAACTCATGGGGTCTGTCCAAGGATTCCAAGTCAAATATTGTCTGTGTAGAAATACAATATACTGTATGTAGGATTTTGTAAGTCGTACAGAGACAGTGCTACACTGTAGAGTACAATTAGGCCTACTGTATGCACTTCTGATTCACATACATTGTATGTACTGAAGAGTAATGTCATTCACATAGTATGTGTTAGTACTGTAGACAATCTGGATTACAGTAAATGTTTCTGAATGTACATGATGCTCACACTGTCGATTCACTCGTTCCTGGATTTCTCTGAGTCGTATTGCATTATCTTGAAGGACCATGCCAACTATAACGGCCTCTTGCTTCCGAGTGAATATAGCTGTCCTTCCACCTGCATGTGGCAGCCTTGCAATTCTACAAAAAGTAGTTATGCAGTTACAAAACATATTCATGCAGTACAATACATACAGTGATTAACTTTACAAATGTCTATTGAACCAGCTGCATATAGTGTAGTACAGTAAATTTGCAATTACAAAAATACAGTAGTATACTGTACCTGTTCTCTTCTCTGAATGTCCTTACTATGGTGGACACAGAAAATCGGCTCAAATTGGGTTGCACTCTAAGTCCTGCTTCCCTCATTGTCAGTCCATGGACAAGAACATGGTCTATGACTGTTGCTCGAATTTCATCAGATATTTCCACTCTTTGTCTTCCTCTTCCTCTTCGTCCTCCTCGCATATGCTCTCATCCTCGTCCTCTCACATTGTTTCTTCTATCCATTCTCAGACTTTCTCCTTCCCACCTTCAACAACCTGTTTGCTCTCTGAACTGGCTTATATTGGTTGTGTCGCATAATTTGAAACAGGTTAAATCCATTTTGAGTGGTTGTGTTAAATCAATGACATGTGTTCTCTATTTGTATTTGATTGTTGCCACTTGTGTTTACCAGTATGGATGACATGTGCATTAGAGTGCAGAATGTGTTTTGAGAATGAGAATGTGTTTAGAGTTTTGCTGAAAAGTCTAAGTGAGATCTGCAAATTGTGTTTTACCATGTAAAATGGTTTAAGGTATTGACAATAGAATGCATTATTAGCTAAATGAGTCCAGGCAACTGAGAACTTTGTTCAGCCAATAGGTTTTAGTGTTTTAGCAATTGAGAAAAACTGTAATAAGTAGTGTGTGTATGTGCATATGCAATGTGTGTGTTTGTGTGAGAGAGAGAGAGAGAGAGAGAGAGAGAGAGAGAGAGAGAGAGAGAGAGAGAGAGAGAGAGTTATTGAGAGTACGGTAGCTGCACTTTGTGTGTGTATCATTGCTCAGATTAGAAAGGCATGTCATGGAGTAATCCAATTAGGGTCTCTGTCAGGAGCGCTGCGGTGGTTGATATGATATGCATGTTACCATAATACGCCAGTAAAAATAAAATAACACAAACTGATTAAAGTGGAGTATATTTCTCAAGGGACTACTCTGCTTTAATGGAGCAGAGATTTACAGAACACACTCATGCTCTCTCTTAATCTCCCTCTATCTGTTTACTGCAGGATAGGGAGCTGATGCCTGAGGAGTTGGATGGTAAGTCTTTGTTATTGATTATAGAAATGCACTATGCAAGTGCAGCCCACGCAGTGGGCGAGAGTCCATTTTACCAGCTCACTTAAGGGTAGTGCCAGCAATATGACGTCTTCATACACAGCGGGGCGACTACCTGCATACATAAATCAACATCAACAAAATTATAATCCTCCAAGAATGACTATTGGCTCGCCCCAACGTGGCTAGGCCTCAAGGGAGGGTGCCAATTTGGAAGAGCCAATTTGAGGCATTCTTTGCAGATGTCAATGCAGTTGTTGTTGATGTCTGTAAGCAAGAAATCGGCCAACTGATGTCATATTGCTGAGTATATCTTTAAACCTTTGTTAGTGAAATTACTAGTACTAATGAAAGCAATATTATAAGACGTTTTAAGAAACTAAATATTCTGCAGGCATACAGCTTATTACCCAAAAGGCTTGAGTCTCTCATAAGCTCCACTTACCCTCGTAAGTCATACAGGACACAGTCGTAGCTTGTAAGTGTTACTAGCTATTAGCTTCTTGAAACATCATTCAGCAATACGAGTTTAGGAGCTGCTCGAAAACCACTGCACCACAATTTTTGAAAACTGCAAATATTATAACATTATACACATGGTTGTTGGTGTGTATACACATGGTTGTTGGTGTGTGTGTGTGTGTGTGTGTGTGTGTGTACGTGCATGCGTGAGTGTCTCAGAGCTGCAGGTGGCCTTTAAGGAGTTTGACTACGATGGGGATGGCTTCCTGCATTACAAGGACGTGGCCGACTGTATGAGGACCATGGGATACATGCCCACTGAGATGGAGCTCATAGAGATTATACAGCAGATCAAGATGAAATGTGAGCGTGTGTGTTTGTGTGTGCGGAGGGGTTAGTGGTGTGTGTTGTGTGTGCGGGGGGGTTAGTGGTGTGTGTGTGTGTGTGTGTGTGTGTAGGTGTGTCAGAGGAGGCTGGTGGGAGGAGCTATAGGAGGACGGGCTAATTGTAATGGCTGGAATGGAATTATTGGAACAGAGTCAAACATGTGGTTTCCATATGTTTGATGTGTTTGATACCGTTCCATTTATTCCATTCCAGACATTACAATGAGCCCGTCCTCCTATAGCTCCTCCCACCAGCCTCCTTTGGTGTGTGTGTGTCTATGTGTGTGCGTGACGTGTTTGACTCATGTCTCTCTCAGGGGTCCGTGCATGTGTGTATGATTGATGTCTCCCTCTATGAAGTTAGAGGAGGGGGTAGTGTGTGTGCATGTGTGACACGTGTGCGTGAGACTGTCTGTTTTTGAAGATTGGGACATTATGTATTTGATTGATGTCAGGTGGAAGGGTGCTTTGTGTGTGTGTGTGTGTGTGTGTGTGTGTGTGTGTGTGTGTGTGTGTGTGTGTGTGTGTGTGTGTGTGTGTGTGTGTAATCTGATGTCTCCCTCTCTGTAGGGGGCGGTCACGTGGACTTTGATGATTTCTGTACTGAGCTGATGGGCCCTAGGATGCTGGCTGAGACGGCTCACATGATGGGGATGAGGGAGGTACGCAGTGCTTTCAAACAGGTGAGAGAAAGACACTAGGAAGTGTGCAAAAGCCATAAGAAGTGTGTTTTCAAACAGATGAGAGAGCCCCTAGGAAGTGTGCAAGATCCATAAGATTGTTCAATGCAAATAGGAAGGGTGCTATCAGAGAAGTGAGTGTACAGAGTGCTTTCAAATAACTTTTTAAAAACCAAAGCAAGTGGTGCATTCTCTAATCATTATGAATGATAACAGAGTGAAAGTTAAAACATGACTTAGTACTTGGTGGCAAAACCCTTGTTGGCAATCACAGAGGTCAGACGTTTCTTGCAGTTGGCCACCAGGTTTGCATACATCTCAGGAGGGATTTTGTCCCACTCCTCTTTGCAGATCTTCTCCAAGTCATTAAGGTTTCGAGGCTGATGTTTGGCAACTCGAACCTTCAGCTCCCTCCACCGATTTTCTATGGGATTAAGGTCTGGAGACTGGCTAGGCCACTCCAGGACTTTAATGTGCTTCTTCTTAAGCCACTCCTTTGTTGACTTGGCCGTGTGTTTTGGGTCATTGTCATGCTGGAATACCCATCCACGACCCATTTTCAATGCCCTGGCTGAGGGAAGGAAGTTCTCACCCAAGATTTCACAGTACATGGCCCCGTCCATCGTCCCTTTGATGCGGTGAAGTTGTCCTGTCCCCTTAGCAGAAAAACACCCTCAAAGCGTAATGTTTCCACTTCCATGTTTGACAGTGGGAATGGTGTTCTTGGGGTCATGGGCAGCATTCCTCCTCCTCCAAACATGGCGAGTTGAGTTGATGCCAAAGAGCTCCATTTTGGTCTCATCTGACCACAACACTTTCACCCAGTTCTCCTCTGAATCATTCAGATGTTCATTGGCAAACTTCAGACAGGCATGTATATGTGCTTTCTTGAGCAGGGGGACCTTGCGGGCGCTGCAGGATTTCAGTCCTTCACAGCATAGTGTGTTACCAATTGTTTTCTTGCTGACTATGGTCCCAGCTGCCTTGAGATCATTGACAAGATCCTCCCGTGTAGTTCTGGGCTGATTCCTCACCGTTCTCATGATCATTGCAACTCCACGAGGAGAGATCTTGCATGGAGCCCCAGGCCAAGGGAGATTGACAGTTATTTTGTGTTTCTTCCATTTGCGAATAATCACACCAACTGTTGTCACCTTCTCACCAAGCTGCTTGGCGATGGTCTTGTAGCCCATTCCAGTCTTGTGTAGGTCTACAATCTTGTCCCTGACATCCTTGGAAAGATCTTTGGTCTTGGCCATGGTGGAGAGTTTGGAATCTGATTGATTGATTGCTTCTGTGGACAGGTGTCTTTTATACAGGTAACAAACTGAAATTAGGAGCACTCCCTTTAAGAGTGTGCTCCTCATCTCAGCTCGTTACCTGTATAAAAGACACCTGGGAGCCAGAAATCTTTCTGATTGAGAGGGGGTCAAATGCTTATTTCCCTCATTAAAATGCAAATCAATTCATAACATTTTTGTTATGCGTTTTTCTGGATTTTTTTGTTGTTATTCTGTCTCTCACTGTTCAAATAAACCTACCATTAAAATGATAGACTGATCATTTCTTTGTCAGTGGGCAAATGTACAAAATCAGCAGGGGATCAAATACTTTTTTCCCTCATTGTAAATACCATGGGAGTGCTCTTACATTTGGGAACTTCACAGCCCTATTGATCAAACAACCATGAGAAGATTGGCCATCAAAATTGCACTGATAAATTATGGGGAATAGTAGCATGCTCGTCCTTCTGCAGCTTGCCTGCCAATGCATTCTTGTCCAATCCCACATTTTGACAACTGAATGGGAACTTGCCCGCCCGCCCGCCCATTTGATCGATGCCAAATACATTTAATTGACAACTAAGAGGGGTGTCAAACTCAATCACTGCATGGGCCATATTTTAAAAAACACAACGAATTTGCGGCCCAGATGTAGCCTATTTGTATTTACAAAAAAACTTGCAACTGCGACCCAAACTGGCCATTGTTTTATTAGAAAAAATATGTCCCTTTATAATGTCCACTTATGTACATATGATGCTGTATATAGAATTGTACGATATTAAAACAAAAGAGATACATAATATTTGTCCAGCCTTTGCTCCTATGCTTGCAGATGTGGATAGTATGCTGTGACCCTAATCAAAAAGTATTTAATTACTCTTAATAACAAAAACGTAGCTATAGGTTGTTGTAAAGTCTACACTTAAAACATGTTGAATGCAGCATTGCTGTATGGTGCACTCCTAATGTACTGTAGTTGAGTTGCAAGGCTGCTGTTCAAATGTGGCTGTAATAGGCCTACATGTTTCTCCTTTGCATGGTTGTATTGCAGGTTTTGTTTTTTAGTTATTCATTCTCAAGCTTTAAAACCGAAGCCAGAGTGCAACATTTTAGTAGCCTAGCTAGGACTGTGGCATGTGTCTGTACACTTTCCCTCCACTGCTAGCTGTAAACCGGACACACGACAGCAGCGCAATTGAAGTTGAATTCAACTAAGCAAGCAGCATCAGGCTGTAATTTCATAAAGTAGATGAGACAACTGTTGACTCTTTTATACTCGCTTGTGTGTCCAATTCGGCCCGTGGGCCTTGTGTTTGACACATGTGCGCTAGCCTATTAGCCACGTTATGACAGACTTATGATCATTGCCCTTGCTAGTTTGATTGTATTGACATTCCCAGACTTACTTACAGTCATCCGTTTTTTTTTTTCAAAATATTGAGTCATTGAAACTGAAACAGTGCATCCCGAATGGGTGGAAGCAGCAAACAATGTACCAGGCCAGCTGTGATTTACAACCTGATAGCAATATTTTTTGGACTACCAAGAAATGTATTGGTGAATTACATTAATCATGCATTGACCTGCATCCATCTATTCTGCCAATAATGCCTTACTGAACGTCATGGAATTTTGAGTCAAATAGAACCTATTATTAAAACGTCTTATAACGTTGGTTTTGAAGCATAGACTGGGAATTTGATATGTTTTACTGATATTAGCATTGTCTGTTTGTTTCATATCTGCAAAGTAGTTAAAACGCTGTCACTTCAACCTACCTTTGTAACATCTGCTCGCACTGCAGTGGCACATCTATCTACCTGTCCCTCGTCCTCTTGCTTGTCCTCCACTTTCCTGTCCTCTGTTTCTGTTGTGAAACAGAGTGAAAGTTTTTAAATAACATGCAACAATGTAACCTTTTTAAATAGGCGAACATCTGCTCACACGCACCTCCATCTATTTCTTGTCCTTCTTGCTTGTTGACCTCCATTTCATTTCTCTATTACTCTCGGTCCTTATCTGACTAGCTAGCTACAGCGCCTTCAGAAAGTATTCACACCCCTTGACCCCTCCATGCTTCACGGTGGGAACCACACATGCGGAGATCATCCGTTTACCTACTCTGCGTCTCACAAAGACACGGCGGTTGGAACCAAAAATCTCACATTTGGACTCATCAGACCAAAGGGCAGATTTCCACCGGTCTAATGTCCATTGCTCGTGTTTCTTGGCCCAAGCAAGTCTCTTCTTATTATTGGTGTCCTTTAGTAGTGGTTTCTTTGCAGCAATTTGACCATGAAGGCCTGATTCACGCAGTCTCCTCTGAACAGTTGATGTTGAGATGTGTCTCTTACTTGAACTCTGTGAAGCATTTATTTGGGCTGCAATCTGAGGTGCAGTTAACTCTAATGAACTTATCCTCTGCAGCAGATGTAACTCTGTGTCTTCCTTTCCTGTGGCGGTCCTCATGAGAGCCAGTCTCATCATAGCACTTGATGGTTTTTGTGACTGCACTTGAAGAAACTTTCAAAGTTCTTGAAATTTCCAGATTGACTGACCTTCATGTCTTAAAGTAATGATGGACTGTTGTTTCTCTTTGCTTATTTGAGCTGTTCTTGCCATAATATGGACTTGGTCTTTTACCAAATAGGGCTATCTTCTGTATACCACCCCTACCTTGTCACAACACAACTGATTGGCTCAAACGCATTAAAGAAAGAAATTCCACAAATTAACTTTTAACAAGGCACACCTGTTAATTGAAATGCATTCCAGGTGACTACCTCATGAAGCTGGTTGAGAGAATGCCAAGATTGTGCAAAGCTGTCATCAAGGCAAAGGGTGGCTACTTTGAAGAATCTCAAATATAAAATATATTTTGATTTGTTTAACACTTTTTTGGTCCATATGTGTTATTTCATAGTTTTGATGTTTTCACTATTATTCTACAATGTATGGAATGAGTAGGTGTGTCCAAACTTTTGACTGGTACTGTACATATACGTATTAAACACAAGAATAATGCTGTGAAATTGTGAAAATTATGATAATGCCCTATAGTGTGGCCCCGTGTAGCTCAGTTGGTAGAGCATGGTGCTTGCAATGCCAGGGTTGTGGGTTCGATTCCCACGGGGGGCCAGGGGGGCCAGTATGAAAATGTATGCACTCTAACTGTAAGTCGCTCTGGATAAAAGCGTCTGCTAAATGACTAAAATGTAAATGTAGTCTAAGAGCAGTTTGAAAACAGCCTGTTTTGGTGGGATGGAGTTCTGGCCTGCCTGGTGATATGGCAATGAAGCTATTTTTGTTTCTCTTTTACCATTTTAATTGAAAACAATCATAGTAATGTATTTGATTGTTACCCAGAAATTATTTGATTTTGAGATAAAAACGTGTGCATTGAACCTCCTAGCTATTGGTGCTACTAGCTAGCTAGCTAGCTAGTTACAGTGGGGGAAAAGGTATTTAGTCAGCCACCAATTGTGCAAGTTCTCCCACTTAAAAAGATGAGAGAGGCCTGTAATTTTCATCATAGGTACATGTCAACTATGACAGACAAAATGAGAAAAACAAATCCAGAAAATCACATTGTAGGATTTTTTATGAATTTATTTGCAAATTATGGTGGAAAATAAGTATTTGGTCAATAACAAAAGTTTCTCAATACTTTGTAATATACCCTTTGTTGGCAATGACACAGGTCAAACGTTTTCTGTAAGTCTTCACAAGGTTTTC